CCCCAAAACCCCAAAACCCCAAAACCCCAAAACCCCGCTTCTTCCGAGTTTTATTGAAAGCTTAGTCTCAAAAATCGAATAAGCTGGATAAGTCTTAATATGCCTCAAAAGCAGAATTTTACGCCAAGGAAAATAATGAAAGAACCTAAGAAAGCGAATTTGTTTAGGAAAATATCAGAGATTTGCAATGTTCTCCCTTATTTTGGACCAATTGAAAACTGAGACTTATTGATGACCACTTTTAGCACCAACTCAAGGAAGATATGGAATGATAATATCAAGATATGGATCAGAATTTTGAAGGATACATTGGTACCAACCAAAATTACCCATGAAAATATCAAAGAGCACACTGATATATATTCCAACCATATTTACACCTACAAACTTGATTTTAATATCAAAGAAGTACTAGAAGACCAGAAGATAATACTATCTTTTCTGAAGAGTTTAAAGAATCCGATCCAAGTGACCTCTTTCCTTATCAAACCGTACATTTCTAGTGAGATATCTGAGTTTCCGGATGAATCTCTTAATGAGTCACTAAAGATATTTTCAGAAGCTCTCGGATTGCCAGTCGGAAATAGAGATAGTTCAAAGATTTCTAGAAAGAATTTAGCTTTCAGTCCAATTTTCCAAGTTCCTTTTAAGATGTCTTCATCGTCACTCAATTCAGGCCTGTTAGTTCAGTATCCAAGTGCTGGGAGCAGTTGGAGCTTAAGCAACAAACGCCAGCTAATTTTGAAGAATATTACATTTCAAGGGATATTCCTCCTCGCTTGAGAGAAGGTCACTAAGGAAGAACAAGAGAGATTAAGTAAAGTGACCACTATCGAGATTGTCGAGAGGATGTGGTGAACATTGCAGACTGAAAGAGCATTTACAGAAATGAATACCGTACTTAGAAAGTACCTTCCAAACCTTACTCACATATGGCTAAAAAACGAGTCACTCCAAACTCTTCTAGGCCAAATCGAGTTAATGAAGCTATTCCTAGACCTAAACGCCACTATCCATTGCCCTCCAGGCCCTCTTCACAACACATATCACACAACTCTCTACTCCTCTTCAGCTTACTTCAAAAACTCAGTGATGTTCATGTCAGAAGAAATTGTTACCTCAGCCATAACAGTAAAAGTGACTGGGAAAATGCACCTTAGTTCAGATAGACTTTTTATAGAAGAAGGATATATTACAAAATTCAGGAAACCTAGGAATGCAGAGATTGATTTAGAAGAGCAATCAGAAATAAGATGTTACTCTTTTGACACATTGATTGTGAACTTTATCATGGTCAAGCTGAAAGATTTAGAGAAGATAGAAATAGAATATGCAACTTTATCAAGAGGCAGTGGACGATTGAAAATGCTTGATGGGAATAAAGAAGGTCTTATAGCTTCTGAGAAGCTTTTTAAAGGTTTGAATAAGCAATGAATTGTAAAAATCACCAACCCACTAAACCATTCCTTCAAACCTCTCAAGACCTCCAAACACTCCCGCAACACTCCTCAGCCTTACCCTAACCTCCCTTCTTTCCTAACAAAACCTTCAAAATCCCTCCCTCACAAAATCGAACTAGATATCCCAATGCCTTCATGTCCAATTTCGAAACCCTTGGCTTGCCTTGATCATATCTCTTCGCTTCACCTGATCATGGAGGCTTGGCAAGCCAAGCCTCCATGATTAGTAGAGACCTTAAGGGAAATCCTTAGGTTACCCAACTTGGCTTCAGTGAAAATCAGGAAAAAGACTCCAAAAGCGTTCGAAATCAAGAAGAAATCTCCCCAAAGTGGGATCTCAAGTAGAAAGCTGTTGAGGCAGGCAGACCTGCCGGTCAGCCTGCCTGTAAGCTTTGATAATTTATAAACATTCATGGTATTTTATGAAGGATTGTGGCTTCAAGGGTAGTCAAGCTTTGGTTAATGCTCTTTAAAATTTATTTAGCTTGCTTTATGATTGGAATTGCTGTAAACAAAGATCCATATTAAATCTTCAATTTATTAGAAATTTAGAGGGGTTTTGGGGTTTTGGGGTTTTGGGG